GCTACTGGACTCTTTTAGAATATTTTGCTGAGTTTACACACCTATAATATTCAATAACGGAACTTAGAAAAAATAGGGTATACAGATGAATGTCCATTTTGTATCTGTGTATTCAGGGTGGTTAGGATAGATATGTGGTTGCATTCTCTTGATGAATAGAATGATTTGTTCTAATGGTGTTTGTAAATGGGATCTCAGGTTCGCATCTTGTGCAGCAATTGGCCACTAGGAAGAATATATGCAGTGTATTATTTGTTGAAACTGCACTTCCGATTTGATTTGAACCTGTCTCATTGCTATCTGTTTATCAATAAAATTTTCAAATATAAAAAAAATAAATAAAAGTCATTCTTGAGATGAAAAAAAAAAAAAAAGATACACTCACTTAGGTGGAAGTACCTCAGGCTTCCCCTTCATGGCTGAGTAGTATACCACCGTATAAAAATACCGCATCTTCTTTATCTGTTCATCCACTGATGGGTATTTGGTCTGATTCCAAAATTCAGCTATTACAAATTATGCTCCATAAGCATGGGTGTGCATATATCCCTATGGTATGATGCTTTTAATTCTTCCTAGGAAGATACCTAGAAGGGTAATCACTGGGTCAAATGGGACTTCTAGCCCTAGTTTTATGAGGACTCTCTACGTTAATATCCACAGTGGTTGCACCAGTCTACACTCCCACCAACAGCGAAGGATTCTTTTTTCCCCACAGCCTTTCTAGCATTTGTTATCGGTTGATTTCTTATTGATAGCCATTCTTTCTGAGATGGAGTCTCAGTGTTGTTTTAATTTACATCTCTTGATTGATCAATGATGCTGAACACTTTTTCATATATTTATTTGCCATCTGTAGTTCTTTATCTGAGAAGTGTCTATTCATTTCAGATGCCCATTTTTGAATTGGCTCTTTAAATTTGGGGAGTGGATGAACTAATGGTCAACTTGTAACACCCAGCAGAACGGAATCTGCATGGTGGTGAGTGTGGAAAGCCCTGACCAAGAGCATGAAGAGAGCTGGCAGGGAAGGCAGTGCACTGCTGATCCATTCTCCTGGAGAAGCCTGCTATGCTGGCTTTCCTGGTCTGAACACAGCTGTTCTCACTGAGTCCTCGCTGTTACTGATGGCTGAGGTTCTCGTGGGGGGAGCTCCAGTCTTTACCTTGAGTGCCGCTTCCTGGCTCCAGTGCCGCTTCCTCAGTCTGCTGACACAGAGCCTTCATCCCACTGGCAGAGACTTTCTAGCTTTCACCACTGACCTTCAGGCCTTTCCAGTGGATCCTTGATACAGGCTTGCATGACACACTGTCACGAGCTCTGGGCCTCCAGCTGGACTCATGTAGGACAGTGCTGTGGGATCCAGGCCCTCAGCCAGGTTCTTTGAGTCTCTATTGTGTGGACAGATCTCCCACACTCTTTTGCATGACTCTTGGTGAATATTATATAATAGTCCTATAAATTATGTGTTGTATTAAAACTTTTCCCTTATAAACCCTGACTACAACAGTGTCTGATTTTTTTTTTTTTTGAGTTCTTTATATATTCTAGATGTGAACCCTTTGTCTCAGGAATAGCTGGCAATTTTTTTCCCACTCTGTGGGTTGTCTCTTGACTCTGTTAGTGGTTTCTGTTGCTGTGAGAAAGCTCTTTAATATGATGAGATCCCATTTGTTGGTCCTTTGTCTTATTTCATGTCTGACTGGGGTTTCATTCATAAAGTCTTTGCCTACACCTATATCTTCAAAGGTGCTACCTATTTTATCTTCCAACATCATAACCACACAGGATTCATTCCAGAGATGTAGGAATGGTTCAATCCAAAGCAACTAATACCATATACCATATCAACAGAACTAAGGACAAAAACACACAATCATCTCATGGATGCCAAAAAAGCAGTTGACAAAATCCAACACACATTCATGATAAAAACACTACAGAAAACTGGAATAGATGGTTTCTATCTCAATCTGCTCAA